ATGAGTTGCCCCTCGTCTCTATCCTGTCTCTTATACACATCTAGATGTGTATAAGAGACAGGTATGGTAGCATGCAACTCCAAGCGCATCAGGATAGTCCCCTGATGATGGTCGCTCGGCACGACCGAAATGCAATGTAGGGAAAATCGCCACTGGAAACCTGTATTCCACTCCTTCTCATAAAAACGTTTTCGAGTCTTGTTGCGCTAATGAGTTGCCCCTCGTCTCTATCTATATCTCCTCCCCCTGACTGTCGTCCTCCAAATCTTCTCTCTCTCTCTCTCTCTCTCAATTATCTCTTTGTGATGTAAAATTGGCTCGATTTACACCTGTGTACGCGTGCATCTCGTGCTGCATCTTGGCTTGATTTGCATCTGTGTATTCCTGCATATCATGCTTCATTGTTTTCACTATCGCTGTTGTCGGTGCGAATACCCTTACAAGGGTATCCGCCCTGGTTTTCGTAAGTGACAGAAAATAATTTTGGTTAAAGGTTAAGTATACTGCGCGAGGTGCGGAGGCGTCTGTGGTTTACGTTAACTGAATGGTTCACTAGAGCGGCGGGTGTGTGGTCGCGCAGGTTTGAGCGGCGCGTGATCTTTTTTTTATTGTTGATGATTGAAGAGTCGGCATGATCGCCGACCTAAATTTTTGTTTCTGATTAAATTAGGATAAAAAAGATTCTGTCTCGAGATTGGTATGCTTGTCGGTCACTTGTGCGTACGTGCAAAGGACGACATCAACAACAATGTGATTTTGAAAAACATTTTGATAGATTTGCGCGTTGCGCAAAATTGGGTTATTTTAGGTGGTCGTCAAATTAGACCCAGCCTTGGGCCTAGCACTGTTGGTTACAGCGCCAGACTTTCAACAGGGAGATTCAGGGGTAGAAGCCATAGGGCAGCGTCGCGGGAGCATTGGAGCCACGTGAAGGAACCATGGGGTTGAGGGCCCGGTGGGGCTATCCCCCTTGGTTTTGCCGCCAACAGCGTTTGTATGATGCTAGCGTTTCTTTTTTCGCGTTTCGTCATATTTTGACAATTAAAGGTTTTTAAACATTCTATAATTTTTATTGTAGTACTATTTTTACACTCCGGCATTCCTTGACTCGGAGAATGCGCCAAATTTAAAAGGTCGTCATACCGGTCGAGGACCTTGAGTACACGCATCGTTTTCGTGGGCCGTCCGGGCCCCCTCGTGTTCGAGATGCTGGTGAAATTCCCCCAGTCTGCTCCATCTTAAAAGTATGGGCCGACGAGGGCAACATGCTTGTGAGCGGCGGGTGGTTAGCCCACGAAGTAGAAGAAACCTGAATAACGGGGGTCGCTGCAAGTGCACGGTAGGCCAGTCGCGATCTGCCGCAAGAAGTTTGAGTATGAGTATGCCCGTCGGGGCTCGTGAGGCACGGGAACAGTCATACAGTCTTATCAAAGTCCTAAATGGGTCAATTGGGTGCCCTTTTGTAAGTAGCCTGCGTGACCGTGGGATAAGGGAACTCGCGGCCATCAACTCTTACGCCGATTGTGGGGGTCGCCGTGCAACCGACAACGTATCAAGCCCTCGCTATTTCACGCAACTAGGGCCTTGTTTCATCAGCAAGGGCACCGCAGTGCGATTCGAACCATACTTGCACACCAATGAGGGCCAGGGCCGTTGTGGCGGAGGTCGCAGCAAGCGTCGGTGAGCAGGCCGGTCACCATCCTCCGAGTATAGGAGCGAAAGGCTGATCAGGCTAACTTTTTTCAGAGTCCCCCTCGGGCTGGTCGGAGCAGCTGGGGAAGCCGCTGCGTTGAGGCGCTGGTGGACCGGGTGAGGAAACAATATGGGCAACTGCAGATACGAGGTAGTGCAGTAAAGGAGAGCCGAGCGTCACAGAGCGGTGCGGAGCGGGGCTGGCCAGCGTAAATCGGTCGTCGGGCTTGGGCATCGGATCTGGACAGTTTCAGGTCGGTCCTTTACAACCAATATAGCATTACTGGGGATCCCTTAGCAGTTACAGTGATGCCGAAGACTCTAACGAGGGAGTATGCGGGAGTTGTGGCCACCAATAGGTGGGCAGTACCGGGTAGGGGTCAGCCAGTAGCATCTGGGCCGAGCTTCTTCGACTGACTATAGCAGATCCGCTACAGTCGGAGGCAACGGAGGACTGCACGATGATAGCAAGGGGGCAAAGGGGAGGCTGGATGTAGTGCGACCAGGCGCAAGGACTGTAGGGCGAGGCGAGACAGCAGCGGAAGGGGCAATAGCGCAGGGGGGCCGACGGGCGGATTGCTGTGGAGAAGCTGTGGGACGGGCGCTGAGAGGGGCAATAGCGCAGGGGGACCGACAGGCGGATCGTTGTGGAGAAGTTGTGGGACGGGCGCTAAGACAGACACAGAGAGGTAGCGAGGGAGACCAGCAACGGGCAGAGCTAGGCAGCAGCGGGGGAGATAGGCAGGAAGGAGAACGGGTGAAACAGAGGTCGGGCAGACAACAGGAAGCATGAGTACCTGGGCGCCTTTGTGCGCCAGGGGAATTCACAGGCAAGGGAATCAGAGGCAGCAGAAGGGAAACAAACGTGGCGCGAATTCGGGCCGGGTGCATTCGAAGTTTGAGAGACGGCAAAGGAGTTATGGCAGAGCTAAAGACTAGGTAGCTCGCCCGTTTCTGAATGAAAATGGGCGCGCGAAAGTGCTAGTCAGGGGTTTTTCGCCCGGGCGAGCGCACTGCTCATGTTAGATTAGGTTGTAGATTAGTAAGTTAGCAGGTAGTGAGAGAAAGCCATGTGCGAAGGACATAGATGGTGGGACGAGAGAAGACGGGAGGACGATATATCGCCTGACTCCTTACGGAATCGAGCGGGGAAAGGTGCGAAGTAGGGGCTTCCTGACATTGAGATCTCAAATATGAGGTTATTTTTGGAAGAAGGTTAGTAGGAGACGAGTTAGTGAGAAAAATTGATGCGCTGGATATGGAGAAGAGTGGCGGGAAAGGAGAAAGATGGGAGTAAGAAATGTGTATTTTGCCCGCTCCCTGATGGAATCGGGCGGAGTAAGGGTTGAGATTGGGGTTTTTATGAAGTAGGAATCAAAATGCAGGGTTAGTTTTGCTAGAGGATTAGTAAAATGAGAGTTAGTACGAAAGTCACGTGCGCAAAAATGGCTGAAGGGGAAACGAGCGGGAGTAAAAATTTGTTTACTTGACCGTTTCGGATGAGTAAAGATCCTATATGGGGGTTTGAGGGTATTACGAGTCAATCGTGGAGTCGGATATTGCATGTAGGTGGTAGATTGACAGGTGTAGGCATTGACAACTGCGTAGAGAGATGAGTAGAGCAAGCTGGAAGAAATAGTGGCATCGGGTTTGTATCGGGTCGGACCTTGAGGGTAGATTCAGAAACATGCTTCTCATACTTAGAACAGAAGATACATAGTATTTTCGGTCCGTTTTTTGCAACAAAGGTGACGCTCGGCGTCATAGCGAACAGTGATCATAGTTTTGATGCGACACGGATCGTCGTCGTTCGGGATTTTGTTTAACCAACCTAACGTCGGACCTATTCGTTTCTTTCTCGATTAGGCGAGGTTCCTGTTCCCGGTGCCATGAAGCTCGGCATATGTAGCAGACCCACCAGGTGTGGTGCTCCGCTGGTGACAGAGATGGAGATGGAGGAAGAAGGAGGGAGCAAGGTGCACAGCGCAGCTCCCCCACGCAAGACTCCAATGCACGTACTCCAAAATGTGTAAGTGAAGAATGATAATGAAAATAGACAATGGCTGGGGTATACCCCAGCGGACTGACGGGAGTAGACTGGACTGGCTGGAACCGACAGAGGTACCGACCTGGACTGGCCTACCCCGAATACAACACAGGCCTGTGAGAACAGGCCAAGGGGCTGGTCTCACAGGCCAACCCGAGGTCCGCTACACGATCCTCGRCCTRTGATGGATCGCCTAGRTACAAACATGCTTCCGCCAAGAAGCGGAACTCTACCAAAGAAAAGAAAACCTAAGTGAAAGCAGAAGCAAGCTCCATGCTGAGTCCATGCGATGCAACCTAGGATATAAAATGTCACAAAACAGCAATGTCACAGCTAACAACCTAAGTGAAAGCAGAAGCAACTAACTAACATATATGTCCTAGGAAAGCAAAAGCAACTAACTAGCATACATGTCCTAGGAAAGCAGAAAGTAGTGACAACTAGATCCTAGAATGTTGGAGGCACTAGCCTCAGTCTGGTAACAACTGACTAGTGTATAAGTCCTAAGAACAGCAAAAGCAGAACAGCTAAATCCAAGAAATGTCGGAGGCAGTAGCCTCAGTCTGAGAGCAACAAAGCAATCAACAAGACAACCGTATGTCATATGAGAAGTGTGTCGCAAACCAAAGGGTGGGATGGTCTCTGAGGGTGGCGAATGCAGCCTAGGGGTCGAAAACTCCTAAGGGCATCCACACATAGTGACAGGGGAAAACACATGTCATCAGGCTCAATGAGGGTAGGGAACTGGGAGCGAACAGAACCAATGACCCTAACAGATAGACCATCAGGGCGGGTAATGCTCGACTAAGGGGTGACCGCTATGGAGGGTCGACCATGCAAAGGAACAGGGGAGCCTGGTATACTGGGCGCACCTAGATGAAGCATGCGGGGCTGCCTAACTAGGGCGTGAGGGCCGACGAAGGGTAAAAAGATGATGGRTAAGGGAATCATGCAAATGACTCCTAAAGTGAGGGAAGTCGGAGCTAGATCCGTAAGATGGGAAGCCACGGCAACGCTACGGTCCCGATGCCTATGCGTATACCAAGGGAGAGCCCAACTCAGAGGAACCCGGATAAATGGAGACCATCATGCGACACAAGCAGGGTACTGTACAGGGTAGAGTGGTAAGAGAGTGGCGACGTCTGAAGTAGGCAGAGCTGATCGTGATGAAGTCCATGAAGCTGCCGATGACGTCCACGATGAGAAGTCCGGAATGCCGTCGAGGAAGAGCCGCAGCATCGACGAGCTGGAGTAGCAAAACTGATGTGGATGGAGCACTGAGAAGTCAAAGACGTGGGAAGGTAAGTCAGAGTCAATCGTCGTATCGAGCAGGACGACGACGAGTGAGGTGTGGACGCTCAGAAGCATCCGGCTGCTGCTGAAGGTCTGCCTCAGATGGAGCAGGCTCGACTTCAGCGGTCTCCTCAGCCGGAGGAGAAGGAGGAGGGTCAGTGGGCTGAGGAGGAGCAGTGAACCCAACACGACGAGCACGKTCATAGGCACGCACCAACATGCGAGCGTGCTGCAAGTGCTCGAGGGGCTCCCAGGTAGCCTCCTCATCAGGGTAACCCTTCCAACGTACGAGATACTCAACGTGGGGAGGGTTGTCGTCGGTGACTCGGCGACCAATGATGTCTGAAACGAGGAACTCCTCATGGCCGTCCACCATGAGGGGTGGAGGGCGCTCGTATGGTCGTCCAGCGAAACGCTCAGACGGTCTGCAGTAAGGACGCAGTAACGACACGTGGTAGACATCATGCACACGAGCCTGACGTAGGTAGTCGGGCAGCTTCACACGAAAGCTGACCGGGCTAGATGCAGTATCAGAACCGACGCCCTCGAGGATGCGGCATGGGCCAAAGAAGCGACGCCGAAACTTGCGAAGCGTGTCCGCTTCGAGCTGTAAGTGGCGGGCGTTGATAAGCACATCATCACCGACTTTGAATGGATGGTCCATCCTCGATCGGTTCGCACGTGCCGCCATGCGAGTCTGGGAAGCGGCTATGTGCTTATGTGCGGTCTTCATGATCGACGTCATGTGTGCAACCCAATCATCCAGCGCGGGATAACTCGTGTCGGGGTGCATGTGTAACGGTTGAAGAAAGTCCGCGGGAACACGAGGGTGATAGCCGAGGTCGAAATAGTAAGGCGACATCCCCGTGGCTGGCGAGACGACGTGGTTGTAGGCTATCTCCGCGTGCGCAAGATGGAGATCCCACTGCTGGTCGTCACGAACAATCTTTCGGAGAATATCTCCAAGAGTCCTGTTCGTGATCTCAGTCTGACCATCAGTCTGAGGATGGTAAGACGAGGAGAAGCGGAGCTGAGTGCCGTACACCTCGTGGAGCCGTCGCCAGAATCGGCTGGTAAAGCGCGGGTCACGGTCAGATATGATGCTCAGAGGTAAGCCGTGGTCACGCACGACTCGATCAAACACGATGTCGGCGACCTCACGTGCACTGATGGCATAGCGGCACGGAACAAAGCGTGCACGCTTCGTGAAGCGGTCGACGACGACCAGGATAGCATCATGACCGCGAGGGGTCGGAGGACGAAGGGGACCGATAAAGTCCATTGAGATGGACTGCCAACGACCCTCAGGGATAGGAAGAGGCTGGAGCAAACCATAAGGCAGGTGGTTCGCACTGTTCACCTCCTGACAGGTGGGACACTCTGCGACATAGTCCTTCACAAAGTCCTTGCGCTTCGGCCAGACGTACAGGCGGCTCACACGAGCCAATGTCTTGTGGAAGCCCATATGACCGACGACTGCCTGGTCATGGAACTCTGCTACTGCTCGGACACATAGCTGTCCAGTGGAGGGAACGCAAATACGGGGCTCTCTGGTGCCCTGTGAACCGTGCCAGTACATGAGACCGTTGTCCCCGAGAGAGTAGTTCRGGACGGTCTTGCCACTCCGAAGGGTCGCATGGATGTTGCGATAGTCGGGGCAGTGGCGGTACTGAGTGBGAAACTCGTCGATCACCGAGTGGKGGACGGKGGTGACCGAGATGGAAGAGAGCTGGATCTGCTCCTGGTCGTGGTCAGGGCGCCGGGATAAGGCATCTGCGACCCGATTAGTCTCACCCTTGATGTGCTCAGTGGTGAAACTAAACTCGGATAGGTCGCGCCACCAGCGATCCTGTCGAGGAGTGAGTTTCGGTTTTGTCAGAAAAGCCTGGACAACAGAGTTGTCCGTACGCACCGTGAACGGTGCCCCGTGCAGGTAGTGACGTCAGTGGCGAGCGGCATAAACTACTGCGAGAACCTCACGTTCATCAGCGGTGTAGTTTATCTCGGCGGGCAGGAGCTGACGGGAGTAGAAGGCTATCAGACAATCACCGGAGCGAGACTCGACAGTGCCATCCTCGGCGATGGTAGGAGAATAGTCAATTGGAGGCTCGTCAGTAGCTGGACGAGTAGGCGTCAGTCGAGAAGCAGTGGTAGGGGTAAGTGGTGGGAAGCGAGGGATACGAGGATGAGAGGAATCAGGAGAAGAGGGGAAGACCTGAGAAAGCACTGCTCCTATAGCAAAGTCTGACGCATCGGTGGTAAGGATAAACGGGCGGTCAAAATCGGGTAGGTGAAGAACCGGTGCGCATGTCACCGCCTTCTTGAGGGCGTGGAAGGCGTAGGAATACCTAGCGTATCCCCGGATGAAATTACTATAGTAGCTGGTCAGGCCTAGGAAGCTGCGAAGCTGCTTGGCGGATGTGGGGGCGGGCCACTTCGCAATAGCAGTGATCTTCGCGTCGTCCATGTGGAGACCCTGGTCAGACACGTAGTGTCGTAAGAAATCCACTTTTTGTTGGGCAAAGCGGCACTTGCTCAGCTTGGCGTAGAAGCCATGTCTGCGCAAGCGGTCAAGGACGTCGCGGAGGTGTCTGAGGTGCTCCTCAAGGGTACGACTGTAGACCAAGATATCGTCGAGGTAGACGAGAACGTACTGTTCCAGGATGTCCCTGAAGATGTCGTTCATCGCCCTCTGGAAGGTGGCGGGTGCATTGGTGAGGCCGAATGGCATCACCGTAAACTCGTAGTGGCCGAAGCGCGATCGGAACGCTGTCTTCGGCTGGACGGCTGCAGGGATGCGGATCAGATGGTAACCGCTACGAAGATCAATTTTCGTAAAGAAGCGGTTGCCTGCTAGGCGGTCGAACAGCTCATCGGAACGAGGCATGGGGTAGCTGTTCTTAACCGTGTAGCGGTTGAGACCGCGATAGTCGATGCAGAGACGGAGAGTTTCATCCGCTTTGCGAGCAAAGAGGACGGGTGCACCCCACGGGGAGTTGCTGGGTTTAATGAAACCCAGTCTCAAGAGTTCCTCAAGCTGACGCTTGAGTTCGGTGGCCTCGGGAATCGAGAGTCTATAGGGTGTCTGGTGGTGAACATGATAGTCAGTCACAAGCTGAATGGAGTGCTCGACGTCACGCATTGGTGGGATGCCGGCGTACGAGAACGACGATGGGAAAACGTCGTGGTACTCTCGGATGAGGTCACGAACTGAGGGCGCCAGGTCAGCCGTATATCGTGCGAGTTCCTCAGCGTCAGCGTCAGCGCCCGACAGCGGGGTGGACTCGACGGACGGCGGAGGGACGGAAGTAGAGATGGGAACCATAGAGGTAGAGGGAGGATCTGGCTCCAGAGGGATGAGCTCGACGTCGGGACAGGGTGGATCATAGTGTAAGAGATTCGTCACGTCCACCATAAAGAAGGTGACGTCGTCCTATCGAATGAAGTGAGCGAATTGCCGAGGCGAGGTGACAATGATAGAGGGGGGTGGTGTGGGCACTGAAGGCTCCGGGGGAGGAGGATCGGGGCGTGGTATCGCCGTGGTACCTATGAAAGGTACGCGATACGTCTTTCCACACTTCGTTTTGAGAACGAGAGTGTTGGTCGCCCAATCGGCCTCGGTGCTGCGGAACCGACGAGACCACGGAGTGCCGAGAATGAAGTCGTACCCCGTCTCCATCACATTGAAATGTGCAAAGGAGCGGTGGCGACGAGACGCCGGGGAATGATCAGTCGGCTCGAGAGTGAGGAAGAAGGGGAGGTCGGTGACCGTCTGATCAAAGAAGCGCTGGGTCTTGTCATCCCTAGGGTAACGGAGATGGGAGTCGGAGACCCTGTCGTGGGTAAGCGGGCTTCCTTCACCACGCGTGGGTGAATGAAGTCGCCCTGAGAACCGGAATCCCACAGCACTGAGTACACCCTCGTGGAGGTCCCGAGTTGTACTGGTATGATCGGGAGGGTGCGATCAGGGTCAGAGAGGATGGCGAGAAGGCGACGCAGTGCAGCGACATGGAGGGTGAGTCGCTCCTGACGAGCCTGGAGCATGCTCAAGTCCACAAGAGAGTACACAACGTCCTCGCGAGTAGCAAGCTGCTCGCTGCAACAGGCTGAGCGAATGGCTCGACGCGTCGGTAGTCGCGGCGGGGAAGGAGGGGAGACGGTGGTCTGCGGAGGCGCAGACGGTACTGCGACAGAGGGCTGAGTACACTCTGTCGAGTCCTGCGATACCTCAACTTCAGTAGCGAG